AAATGCCTGTGTCCAGTGTGACCTAACCCTCTCTGGGGTTGGGTGGGAGGACTGGAGGGAGGAGAATTTCTTGCTAACCAGTTTAAAGTGGTTCCCAAACACTGAAACACAGAACTCTAAAGGAAATTTACAACAACCTTACTCTCTTGGCTTTTCCCCGATCCTTATTGTTCATCATTCATGGCTTTAAAATGGTAAAAGAAAGAGAAAGATGTAAGTGGAAAACAAAATCAAATAAAAACAAACCTCTTAAAAACAAACTCAGATCCAAGAGATCACTCTTGCTGTCCGAATCAGGAAAATTCACACCTCATTGCCGTCAATGGGAATTCCAGACAAGGCATATCCAAATGGGAACAAAGTTACTTGAATGAAAAATTCAACCATCCTCCTTCCTCTGCCTCCTCTGTCGGCTGCCAGAACTGGCACACAGAAAGAGACCTCTTTGGCCTCAACATGTTTGAAGTGAAAGTTTTGGGTGAATACTGAAAGTCACTCACAGTCCCAGGGGGATGGTGAGCCATTTTTTCCTCTCTCCCCTCTTTGTAGTTTACTCTCCCCTATATACATTTTTCTTCTTATCGCAGCTTTTCTGATCACAGTATCAGAGTGACTTTACCACCATCACCTCCTTATTGTGAACCAGCCCATCCCTTGGAGGCACAGAGCCATTGTGGAAGTGGTAAGTCATTTGTTTTGTTCAATGGGTTTCTTGTTATGCATGCATGCAAAGCCCCTTTTATCTCACATTTAAATTTGTGTTTTCCCTCTTATGATTGGTTTTGCGACATCAAAAAGCTTTCAGCATCTTCAAAAATCAAGAAGAACAAACTCTTACAAAAATAAAATAAAAATAAAAAGAAATCCTTCCTAATACACCCAGCATTTCAGTGAAGCTTTAGAAATGAACAGATTCACATGGGATACTGGCTACTAACAACTATGGAAATAAGCCTGATTTTTTGATCTCTAGGCCCAAACATTATTCATATTTTTTTCCTTAGCCTCAAACAATGTCTTAGATAGCCCAGGTAAAAGCAAGCCAGAAACAAAACAACATCATAGAGGAATTGCTTTATGCAGATACTTTCAGCTACGCTACACAACTCACATTGTCTTTGAACCCAGTGTGATGAGAGAATGATTTGAGACTCCAGGGACGACTCCTGGATATGTTTTTACTTCAGCATATTGTAGTGAGACAGAAGTCTTTGGCTTAAGAAATGTGTTCAGCAATCTTCTGCATTTGGGGCGTTTTATTATTATTGCTATCGCTCTAATAACACTTTGGACATTGTTGAGAGCTGAGGTCAGGGAGCAGACACACTGCACATATGAGGTTATACAGACCCTCTTTAACCTTTCAGAAAACGGTTTGTCCATGCTTAGTGGGAGGCTGAGAGCAGGAGTGAGAAAGTCTGGTGCTATCTACCCTCCTCAAAGCCAGAAGTGGCTATAACCTTTAGGCTGCTTTTCAGAAAAGGACCTATGTGTATCCTTTGATTTTCAGTCACCTGCCTGCTTTTCTAAGAACACTCATATCATATCTTTCTTAATTGATCTTTTTAGGAATTGGATAGCATTTGCATAAGTATCTAAAATAAATTGAAGTATTGTACTTCAATATAAGTAGTTGTTGCAAGTTGTTTGGGAAACTATGTCATCAGCTGCTTGGGACATACTTTTATGTTTCTGTTTTGTTTCTTTGGCCCTGCCTTCCGGGCAGTCTGACTCTCTAAGCCGTAGAGGATAAGTGATGGTGGCTGGGAGACATCTGCTTTTACCAAAATGTTATTTAGTGTGGAAAAAACAGAACCCTGTCTTGCTGAAAATTTTCTGTTGGCGTCACATCATTGGCCAAAATGGAGCAAAAATTGGGCAGGTCAGATTTAAGCATTAGTATGATCTTAATCTATAGAAAAGACCTGGGATATAGAGGCTACTATCCTACATTTTTATAACAATCATTTGTCTTGGATTTTTCTTGGTACAGGGGACTTTCCCTGCCGCCCTGAGGTGAGAACTGTGGCCGGAGTGGGGAGCCAGGTTCACAGCTGTTTGTATGATCCCCCTGTACCTCTCACCGTTTGACCCAACGCGTGTGTTGCAGCTCACAAACACACAAGACATGGAGTCCGAAGCAGAGGTGTGACCTAAATTCAGCACTGTGCACCAGCCGTCCCATTTTTGATGAATTGTTCACCATATCCAAGACATCCACAGAAAAATAGAAGTCTCTGCACTAATCAACACCATCATTGGGCGTTAATTCCAATGCAAAGGTTTAAATTGACATGTAGGCTTTGATACCCCTGCTGAGTGCTGTTGGGAATCTGGACCCAGAGCCACATTCGGTGTCTAATTCTGGTCAAGACGTTTCCTTCTAGCTTCCCAGTGAAATTGTTCTTTCCTTTCTCAACTATTTTGTGAACGTGGACTTATGTGTATTATTAATCTTGGACAAGGATTTTGGGTGCAGTGGGAGGCTTTCCACTGCCTTGAATGGAAGCAGGATCGAGTCTTTCATGCCCTATTAAAAAGGTGATTTGAGGCCATTTCTGGTAAAGGAAGGAGGAAGGAGGTCTTGTAGCAGGGCACAAAACCTCCCTCTAGCCCCACACTCACTGCTGCCCTTGGATTTTAGGGGATTTTCATTCTGGCAAATGCATTTTATGAACCTGATGTACACTTAGCTAGAACAATCCCACACTGGGATCTAATTTCAGACCTACAAAGGTTGATTTATCCTTTTTCAGGCTATGTACTCATTTGAACTAAAATTACCCTGCTGCCAGCCTCCTTGATAGCAATTACATCTAAAGAGAGAGAACCACTGAACTTCATGTATTGGTAATGGTCTTTCCGTCTATATTTTTCCTTGGGGATAAAGTTGTATGGGAAAATTAGACACATTAGTCCAGGAAAAATAGTGAACAAAAATACATATTTTATACTTTTAAAAAGTATCCTCATGCTACCAATTAGAGACATTATTTAATGCAGGTATTTTAGCATTATGGTGCAAGTCTTTATATAAAGAAGAACAAAACCATTTCTGATAGTTATTTAAGGGCATCCTAAATACACTCAAGAATAGTACATTTTAATTTTCAATAATGCCAGCAGACTCGAGCATTCAGATTTTAGCATAACCAGCAGGAAAACTGTTTGATGTTTTAATTATGTCCCAGAAAATGCTGAATGTGTTATAAAAGAAATCTGAAGAGGGGAGGGGGGAAAAAAAAGGTTTTTATTACTGCTCAAGAGGAAGGACGTTTTACAACATAGCATTAAAAATGTAAAATGGAATAAAAAAGAACTTGGATAGTCAAAACTTTGTCTGAAACAAAGTAGGCCAGAGAAGCAAAATAATCTGTCTGTTAGAAGCAGTCGGCAGTGAGGAGGGGAGGGAAACATTTACATAGAGATAGGGCTGATGGAAAGGAAAAGCCTTAAAATAACCCCAAAGTCTTTTAAATTATGTTTAAGACTAGCCAGAACCATTCCCAACAAGGTATCTCGGAGGATTTCAGAGTTCCTGATTAATGTGGTGACCTACTGCTCTCTGATGCAATGCGTTCAAAACCCAGCTGGGTATTCGCAGTCGGGATGAGGCTGCTGGGACTTCCTGGGGCTCCATCCTGCTGGCACCAGGGTCAGTCTCCGCAGCAAGACTCAGGAAAGGTGTCCCCAAGGGAGGGGGAAAGCGAGAACCTGAATCATTCGCAATGAACTGAACCAGATGTACAAAGCTCCAGTAATTTAAGCAGCGATAGGAAGTGGAAAGGAAAAAAAAAAATTACCGTGGTTTAACTCTTCCTTCCCTTAGCAGGTGTCGGAGCAGGCTGAGGGGGGACAGCATGGGGCTGGGACATGGGCTGTGAAGTCCCACCGTGCCACCCGGTGTCTGCAGTGCAGGGAGAGGTGCGAGGGGATGGAGCCACAGTGGGAGGGGGAAGCTCCACAGGTCAGGGGCCGTAAAGCCCCAAAGCCTCTATTCCTCTCGTCACACCTGTGCCGAGTACTGCACATGTCACCATTCCTCACTCAATTTAAGTCATTCCTGGCACTTGACTCTTTCACCATTCTGCTGTCCTTAAAAAAGTGACATCTCCAATTTGGTGCAGGTACATAATTTAGGCTGTGTCAATAGACTTGTTTCTCTTAAAACGGGCTCTTAAATAACTATCCAAGAGATGTTTACCTTTATTAAAACAAAACAAAATAAAACACATCAATAACTAATTTTGGATATGTATATTTATAACCATATACATACACAATTAACATGAAAGTGGGGTCCATGATTATGCTAGATATATACACATCTTATAGTCACTGATGATTTAAAAAAAAAAAAACAAACAAACAAAAAAAAAAACAGCACAAAGCTTTCAGTGGCTATGGCTTGTTTAAAATATTTTTTTTTTAAATGATAAAATCATAAATTATGTATCTATTTTTTATTTTTTTTAAGTGAACTACTCTTTTATTATGTTGTTGATAATGTCAAAATGATAAAAGAATTTGGAGTCAGATGTCAATGAAACGGTGTTGTGAATCCTCCTTCAGCTGCTTGGCGTTTCAAAATGTTACGTGTCAAGCCTGGGTGTTGTGATAGATGTTTCTTATTTAACATTATGGCTCTCAGAGTTCTCTATTTTGTTATTTGGTACCTTGGCTGTTTGCTTAAACTCCGTATGCAAATACTAAGCTCAAATACAAAGCTGGAGTGTTAAGATGGAAGAGCTAAAATTCCAAGATTAAAATGGGAGATGAATGTTTCCTGTAAATGTGTATAAATAGGTGTCATTAGTCTGATTTTTAAAGGATGTTTAGCAATGATTTAAATAAATAAATAAACAAATAAACAAACATTGTAAAGAAAATGGTCCAAAGTACTTTAAAAAGCATGTATGGCAGAAAAGCCTTTCTACAGCTGTAAATGAGCTGCGGTCTGACGCCCACAGCAAAAGTACTTGTTAGCAGAGCAGCTAAGCCCCAAGTGATGCCGTTTGGATCGTTTTCCCTTATAACACATCCCTCTCCTATCTGACGATAGCCTGAGCAAGCTGCGGAGGGTCTGTATTCCTGGTAGCACCTCAGAGCAGAGGCACAAGGGAGGCAAAGGCTCTTCCCCAAGGCCGGGCAGAGGGTCTGTGCCCAGCACCATCTCCTGCTCCCTCTCATGCTGGAGAGCTGCTGCTCGGGGCCAACGCAGACATGGATACCTTCAGCTGCAGCTCTCAGGTACCCAAACCGTCCTGCAGCGTGAGCCATCAGGGTGCCGGCTTTTTTCCCCACCTTCTGCATGGTGGCGGCACTTGTTGCCAAGCTAGCAGCTGGCATTGTTATTCGAGCCTGTAAACTTTCACCTTGGGAATAGCATTTCTGTGCCTGCGTCAAGGCTGAATGTCTGAGAGTTCAGGGAGAAAAAACTTGTTTGACAAGCAAAGCTTTTTCTGTTAAAAAAAAAAGGAGGAGGAGGGGGAAAAAAAAATAAAGCTCCAAACTCTTGGGAATAGGTGAAAGCGACAGAGGCTGGAGACAAAGATGAGAAGTGATCCTTAACGTGCGAGCATCGGAGGCTGCTCGGAGAGCGCTCGGCAGCGCTGCGGGTGCTGCTGCCCACCCCACAGAGGAGAAAATCAAAAACCTGTCAGCCACCGAGTGTGGTGGTGGGCGGGGGGTGTCAGCGAGGAAGCTAGACGATGGGAATGCTTTAGGTGAAATTGCATACCGCAGCCCTTTTGCTTCTTTCCTCTGCTTGGAGTTGCCTCCGGTGGCGATCGGAGAGTTGTGTTAACCCACAGACTGCGGCAGGGGTGGCGGGGGTGCACCCAGCGAGGCTCAGCGAGCCCCAGCTGCCAGGCACGGAAAGCAGCTGCAAATCAGAGGTCACTTGCAGACTGCTTCTCAGTTTCTGTGTTTTTCACCTTTTTTGCTTTGCGGGCCGTGAAGTGTTTTCCAGAGGAGTGGGTCCCTTTTGAAATGCACATTCTTGAAGCGCTGCACAGCATAAATGGACTTGTTTTTCTTAGCCACCTCTCACAGACACCTTAGAAGTAGACCACAGAGCTCCCTAGAGGTCTGCAGACCCCCAGGTTGAAAAACTAGCACTCTAATGTTAATCCTTTCAGCTGTCCAGTCCAGGAAATGTGATTATTTTGCAATGGAGAGAGCAGAGACAAAGAAAGGTGATGCCAAAAAGCAAGAATTGTGAAAACACTGCTGTGATCCAGGAGCAGAGCAGCCACTGGAAGAGAGGGCTGGTTTTCCCAAGTGTCTTTCAGATGCTATCGAAATGACTCCCAAAGTGTTCTCCTTTCATTAGGTGTCTAAATTCACATCCATAGGTGCTAAGTGCTCACAGATCCCTCTGAACCCAGAGCAATGCATGCCTGCTCACCACCTATGAAATCAGACCATTTTTGTGATGTTTCTTTGGCGACAGACCTGTTTGAAGCAGCAGTCCATGCCTAGGTCACGGAGGGAGTCAGTGTCAAGTTTTGGACAAGATACCAAGTTTTTGGAGCCCTGATTACTGCCCATAAACACTAGGAGCATGTCACCAGCTGCTCTCCTGGGATTCTTATCCCTTAAAGAAGAGCACACTTTGAGCACTTTGATTCCTGCAGATACGTTCAAATTACAGTTGGCATTCACAGATTTGTAGATTTTTGAGGCCAGGAGTGCATCTTTTTTTTCCCCACCCAATTTCCCCTGTATTCAGCCCAATAACTTGCACCTGACAAAAGTGTAGCTTTTGTTTGATTAAAGCACATCTGCCAGAAAAGCATTCAGACCTGATTTGAAGACATCAGGAGAGAGAAAATCCACCTCTTCCCTTGGTGGTTCATTCTAGTGGCTAATCACCTTCAATGTTAAATATTTGTGCCATTCTTGCTAGATTAAAGAGCATTTCAGTACGTGGCATTCCTATGAGATAATGCTTGCAATGAAATAACCTTTTAATCTTCTTTTTGATAAATTAAACAGTGTGAGATCTTTAGGTTTCTCACTGTCAAACATTATCTACAGTCAGTAAATCATTTCTGTGGCTCTTTTCTGAGCCTTCTCCAATTTTGTAATGTCTTTCTTTAACATGACAACCAGATCCCATAGTCTAGTATATGCTCGCCTGGGGTATAGTCTCTAGCCTGAATTCTCTTTGCTATGAGGGTGGGAAGCATCTCACCTGAGCTTAGCCAAAATAAAAGCTTGGCATCTAAAAGTTAGGCATCTAATAGTGTTAGGCATCTTCTAGGCTCCCTCAGTAGTCATCAGAGACGGATGGACACTTCTGAAGAGTTTGCCCATTTGTACAATGTTGCTCTGGGCTATATCAGGGCACCCTCTCTTTGAATTCATCCCACTTTCCCAAGTCTCAGTGTGCTGCCTGTGCCACCCTCACAGCATCACTCTCTTTTGTCCCTCTGTCGGGCTCTGTTCTCACGTACTTGTTATCAGCAAAGACTTTAGAGAGCAGACCAGGAGGGTTTTCGATGAGAAAGTTCCCGAAAACAATTTGTGGTGATGTAGACATAATTTTTATTGAGACTAATTCACAGTTATGCAGCTAATGATGTTTACAAACTGAATCCACTGAAGAAAACATCAGCTAGTTGTACACCAGTACTACTTGCTGCTAAATTTTGTTAGGGAAAAATCCCATTCAGTGATGGCTCTCTGTTGACAATTGTCTTTTGGAGATCTGCCAAGTAGCCAGCTCTTCACCCATTCATCCTGTGCCTTATCAGTATTGCAAATGCCATTTTTTCAATTGAAATCATATGTGAATTAAACTTAACAGCAATTCCATAATTATCTTGCTTAAGAAATTCATTATAAAGTACCTCTAATCTTCATTTGCATTTTTCTGTCTTTTTTCTTCTCCCTTCCAATTTATTTGTGATTAATTGGCTCTTTTGAGCCAACTACATATGTTATTTGCTTGGACTATCCTTTTTGTATCATTGGATGACTATAGGTGTCTAGTGACCACCATCTTTTGTGCCTGTAACTAATTAACTCCTGGCAGTCAGGAATGATGTAGTGTATCTGTACCTTTCTCATTAAAGGATTTATCCTCTACAATTCTCTCTCTCTTTTTTTTTTCTCTTCTTTTTTTTTTCTTTTTTTTTTTCCCCTCTCTCTGTCTTATTTTGTCAAGAGATCCAAGCAATACTTTGTTTACTGGCTGCATGAGACCTCCAGCATATGCCTCCCAAACTGAGGAACCCCTAACAGTGCAGGTTTTCCCACTGATGTATTCCAGACAGGTCTTAAGGAGTAGGACAATCTCTTTTCTGGTTTGATTTAGTGGTCTACAAAGCCTCCTACCACTACCACCTCCTGAGCTTTCTGGGTCAGCTCAGTGATCGAAGAGTCACTCAAAGTCCTGGGGTTCAGTCTAAGCTCTCAATAACTAGAAAACTAGATAATGGTGTTTTTAATGTTCAGTGCCATACCTCACCTCTTTTACCTCATCTGTTGTTCCCAAAAAGGATGAGATGGCTCCAGGAAACAGCATCACAAAGTTAGCAGCATGAAGTGGATGATGAGATGGTGTCATTCCCAGAAAGACTTCTGCTGTTGGTATCTCGTGAAGCATCTTGACAGTGTGATGGCATCCCACAGCTCCTTGTGCTTCTTCAGGTAAGTGTGCAGTGTACCCACAGGGCAGCCAAATCATAGGATCAGAGGAGTTAAAGACAGGCAAGATCTGTCAGATCACAGAGCACATGCCCCTGCCAGTGAGTGCTGTCGTCCCTGATACAGCACGCGTCAGATCTCAGATACTACAATTGATCTCAGTCAAAAGGCCAAAGGGAGTTGGATGTATTTTTTTGTATCTGATATCTAATATGCACAACTGTTCAGAAAGCCTTCTGTTATGTGCTGGTGGATGGAAACCTGAGTTCAACTCTTGAGTCTGGTCATTATCCGGCCCCGACTAGTAGCAAGTCCATGTTTGCTCCAAATGGGGAGAAAATGTCACCAAGCAGTCCAATTTCTCCCAGGATGGACTTTCTCACAGGGTGAAGATGGGTAGGGGCTCTGGAAAGGTATAGTTCTGTGTGAGCTAAGCTACAGCTCACCTCCATTTCCCCCTGCTGCAGCTCGTTTGGTCAGAGCACAGCCCTCCACAAGGCTACATTGGGGGTGATGTCCAAAGCCTCATTTGTCTGGTCTGGGGGTGTCTGGAGCCAGGGCTGCACTGGCTGATCGGGCTCCATCATCTCCAACCTGCTAACTCTGGGGTCAGCAGCCTGCCAGATGTGCAGCTGAAGTGCTGTCATGTTGTTGTGCTATGCCAATGTAGCAGGACACATGCGTTCAGCTCTGGAAGCACCATAAAAATCCAGTCCTGAAAGTAATGCTTCATGTGGCTTGCTTCTCCTGTCTCCTCTCAATGCATTTTTTTTGGCATATAAATTTAATCTGGAGAGATGTTCGTGATCAGATATTTTTCCTCTCCGTCACTGGGATTGATTTAGGACCTACTCATGTCTGCTTAGCAGGTCCTTATCTCCTTATTTCCACTGAATTGGCAATACTTTAGGTGAGACAGGCCTCTTGAAGAACAAAATTTACTTCGCGTGACTACAAACCAGCCTTATGAAGTGTGGTCTGTTCAGTCATGGGCCAGAAGAAATACTTTGTGACCACAGGTACTGGTCAGAGCACTGGACTTCTCTGCCCCAGCTTGCAGCACAGCTGCTGTTTGGAACTGTTTGGAGTGACTTGTCCATCAGGAATGAGGACAGACACCCTTCAACAGACAGTTTTGAGGAACTAGCAAATCAGGAAGAAAAAAACAAAAACAAAAACCAAAAAATCCAGAGGGCTTAAGGTACAGAACTTGTCCCTCTGATCTGGGGGGGTGAATTTGGAAGGGTTTCTCCTCCAGCCTGAAATCCATTGAGCTGAGCAACCCCTGGCAATCATTGCAAAGTATGGAGGTTTAAGCTGCCTTCTCTTTACCTGTGCTAGGCCTGATTGTTTCTCCCTTTTGCCCCATATTATTTACTGTACAATTCCATTAGGATTGCTTTTTCTTGCTGCATCCAAGATACTGCAGTCTATCACTTGAGCTATTCACATGACATTTCATCCTTTCTTAGGAAGACAATCGTGTCTTCAATCAAAGACCTCTTGACAAAAGGAAATAGGAGCAAGAACTTGAGATGGCATAATGCAGCAAAGTGCTTTCTGTACACCTGCACAATACAACTCAATCTGCCATTACTTTCAAAATTATGCTGAAAGATTCCTCTTGTTTACACTTTTTTTGTGTGCCCCGACCCATTGCTCATTTGACCTTGAGGTTCCCTTCATTCCTCCTTCCCCCCACCCTCTCCTTGCCCTCTTCCCCCGCCTACACCTCCAGCAGTTATTATTTCCTTTGTTGGTTGCAGTTTGTATAATTATCTTGCAGCAGTCAACAAACAAACATTTATTTAGCCTGATTTCACACCAAAGACACCAAGTGCAACAATCAGGCCCGTGTAAGTATTACAGGTGCTTTGTCAAACAGAATTTAGTAACTCATTTTTGGACATCCTCTTTAGGGCAATGATGAAAGGTTTTCTGTGGACTGAGGTTTCTTTATGCAGTGAATAAAAGGACATATTGGAAGGGAAAAAATCCTTAAAAGTCAAGGGTATGATGGGAATGACAGTGCAGTACTGGAGTTCCAGCAAGATCTGCAGCTGATTTCAGTTGAGTCACGTTGTCCTCTGAGAGGGTGCTGGATAGATTCCCAGTAGGAGGCCCAAGGAGACAGGAATTATTTCCTTCCTATGCAGAGGTAGCTCCCACAGGGTGGGTGGAAGTCACGCTGTGTTATTGACATTCCCCTCCTCAGGTTGCTCCTGTTACTGATCTTGCTTTGGGTTTTGCTGAGGAACATGCTGAGGCTTTATTTGCTATGTCCCAGCCGCCACAGCTCTGTTTTGGACTGTGCTGATTCTTCCATTTATTTCCCAGTGTGGTAAGTTTTTGCTTTCTCAGACTGCCCTGTGACAATTTACTTCCAATACTAATAAAAATCTACTTAATTTATCATTACTCTGCATATCAACAATATTTCAGGTACTCTTTTAGCAGCCCTTATACTAGCGTTTCTGTACTTTGAACTTTTCACTACATTAGTGCCATCCCACGGACTGTTTCTTCATCCTTTTGACAAAAGAAAAGCATAACAGAATTTAGTCAATCTCTCCCTCCATGCCTGTGTGTATAGGCACCACCTAGGCATGAAATCACCGTTATTAATAATGCAATGCAATTATCCCTTGGCTGTGATAGAAGGAGGCACTGGCTGGTTTTGTCTTGAGGTCTGGACAGGCTTTGACATGGCCAGTCCTTGGAAAGGGTTCACCCCAGCTTCCCTGGGAGATGTTAAAAGATATTAACTGGTAGAGGCCTCACAAGACCTCAAGACCTTCCTGTGCAGGGTGTTGTACAGGCAGGTCTGGTTTGTGAACGTGCAGCTTGGAAGACGGGGAGGCCTCGCGGCCTGTCACACAGTAGGGGTGGTGAGCGATCCAGCTGGGACAAAGCACTTCTACAGCAGAAATTAGGCTGGCACGGGTGGTGAGGGATTTAAAAGCACGTTAGGAATTCAGATCCCTTTGTTGTTTAGGAGCCTGATGTAGCTTCAAACGTTGCAAAATTACTGCAGAACTAGGGCTGTGATGCTGGCAGATAACAGGCCTTCCCACTTTGTGGTAAATAGTACCTCCCCACCTTTTTCCTTCTGCTCCCTGTTTTGCAATTAATGCTGCTTCTTTTCAGTGAGAAGTTGTAAATTATGAGAACTATGTTTACCTAGCAGCAGGTAGTGCCTCTTCATCATTCACCAGGTCAAAAAGAAGAAGGTTACCCAATACTAATCAGAGGGAAACTGGGGTTTCAGTGCTAAAAAAGGTAAGCACCAACTTATTCTCTTAGTGTCTCTAAAACATTAGAAATCACCTGTTCTTTAAACAAAACATTTTTAGACCTGCTGTATGAAAAAGTAGAAAATGAGCTTAAGCTTGTCAGAAGCACTTCTAGCTGACCTTATGTGCTAATAGGGCAATAATGAAGGATCAACTTTTTGATACAACACACAACATTTCAATGTGGGTTCACAGAGATTTTTCTCACATTATGTTATTTCAAGCACTTAACCTGAAATTTCCTAGTGTTCAGTGCTGCCACTGTGCTGGTATTCTGAGTCTGCTGAATCCCCGGCATGACCAGGGGTAGCACTGATCCCAGTGTTTAGATGGAAACTTCAAATAACCTACAATTTTCAGTATCCTGTATGGTGAAATCTGTTCCAACTCACACAGTAATCAAGGTCAAGCCTGTTCAGTCACACCTATTGGGAATATGGTAGAAGATTTATCAGCCCTGTTCACCCCTGATGATTGCCATAATCAGTGCTCCATATTTAATCTCAGGTGGTAATCTATGGCAGGAATTGTTCTCACAGTCAGAAAACAAAAGAAGAGGACGTGGTAACTGTGTCCACTAAAAATCTGAAGTAACTTTTGATTTACAGGACAGTTTTGTTCTTCTCCATCGCTTCTGTATATATTCCTGCTCAATATAACCTGTGATTTTATAGGACATTCTTTCTACCTCAGAGACATTTGCATTTTGATAGTGAAACCAAGTCATTTGTATACATGCACTATTTCTAAGACTGCATAGTCCCCTACAGTCTTTAATAGCTGCTACATGAGTGAATCACTAACGATGATATCCCTGTTTGAATGCAAAATCTGGCTACTGACATTTCCTCTGGCTTTGTGAGCACTGGTAAACCTGTGCTCTGTAAATTCACTGGAGTTATTTGGGCTGTGTTGATATGCACCAGTGGAGGACCTGACTCACTCTCTGGTGGCTGGGGTGTGAGCAATTCGTATCTTTTGTGTTAACGATCCTGGACTTTTATTCCTCCTTTCTTTCCTCTCACTTTTTTGGATATGCCACCTATAACACCACCTCTTTCTCTGCGATCCGCTGAATGCCACAGCACTCTGGATATACCTCCCTGGTATATATGTTTTGCTCCAGTTGGATGTACTATAGATCATTTCAAGAGACAGTTCACAGCATAATCAGGAAATCAGAGGATTTTTTTTTTCTTTCTCCATCTTTGCTTCCGTAGCTAATTGTTTTTCTCTCTTTAAACTTACCCATAGACTTACATTGTCTCACCTCGGACTTGGGAGCCAGCATAAAAAGAGCTTACCCACCAGGTGGCATTTTCTCACAAGTGTCCAGCCCTAATTCTAACACGAACACTTTGTACATATAATTATAAAACTGAGGGCCACTAAAGTGCACCTGTAGAGCAGAAACTTGACTGTTCTCGATTCTGTTCTAATTATTGAGCCTTAGAGCAAAAACTAGGTTTCAAAGAAAACTTTCTGTACAGGCCTCAATAGAGTTAAAGGAGAAACATTTTAAGTTGATGAGCTGACACTTGTAGAAGCAAATATATTAAATAAATCATGATTCGTTTTGGGGCTAAATCTGACTTACATCAACTCTGGAAAAACTAGATCCTAATGAGTGACAGTTTGGTGTTTTCTGTCACTTCCTACAGTAATGGCCCCAAGCTGACACTGCTCTGTGGGAGTCTAATACTTCTGAAC